GGACAACTCCACGTGATCTCGATGATCACAGTCTATCGTAAAAACAGAGTGTCCTCCGCTTCGCTCCGGACAATAAATAAATCTAAATTTTTTCTTTTGGGCAACCTGCATTTTTTCGGTTTAGTGTTCTACTTTGTTTTTTCTAAACACGTATCATTTTGAAATAGTTGGTTTGACATGTTTAAAGATAAATTCATAGAAGCTATTTCGTCGATTATATTAATAGAAAGATATATATTTCAATATAATAAAATTTGATTTTTATTATACGTAGATAACGATAGCTTAAATTAATCATACGATTTTTTTCATAAATGAATCAATTAGTTTTTCGTACGTATCAATTAATACAGTCAGACCTTCCTAAATGCATATTCATTAAATGCATAGTCTCTCTAAATGCATGGCCTTGCATGATCCCAACTCATATGACACTTATGGATTTTTACCTCTCTAATGCAATACTTCTCTAAATGCAAGATTTTATGGCCGCCCACGACTATGCATTTAGAGAGGTCTAACTGTACGACAATAAGTTACAAAAAACCAGATTTAATTATTCGTTATCACTAGAATAGTTATAAATCATTCGTTATGCAATAAATACTTGGTACTGCTCTCTTTCGATAACTTTCCTGGACTAAATAACTGATAAAGTAATCTCCCCGATTCGATGATTTCTAACTTTGACTGGCATTAAAATAAAATTTAGTTACAGATTTGAATGGCGCACAAAAAATGCGCGGCAGAACCCCTATTTTGATTGGCTAACGACCGAGGATCTTCAAAATTTTGGCCCGCATTACATAATTGTTTGCTAATTTCCGGCCGGAATTTTAATTTTTTCATTACAAAAATATAATAGAAATTTTTTAAGAAACAAGTTCAATGTTATATCGCGTTTATACGGTATAAAATAAACTTGTCTGTAAATTGATTGATTGTCTGTAAAATAAATATTTCTGTAACAAGATGTCTATGAAATGGACGACCGAACTCAGACCAACCCTATAAGTTCGACGTCTGGAATTTCAAAACTAGGTTGAATTTGATTTTCAAATATGACCCAAAGTTCGGCTCGGTTCGGTTCAGTTCAATAGGAATTCCAGGGCCATTAATCCCACTCAAATTAGACAAAATTTTTAAAAACCTTTTTTTTGTTTTTAGTTAACGTACGTTACAAATAAAAAAGCAACCCCGAAAAGAAATTACCTTCCTGATTTTGGACCCAAAAGTTGGAGGAGACTATATATTATGTTTTAATAATAATAAAATTAGGCTTACCTATTTACTTTAGTTTTTTTATTTTGATAGGCTATATTCGAAATTTACGGATACACTTCTGTTTTGATATTTATAAATCATTAGGTATGTGTTAATAGCTTTGAAATATTATATTAATTATTAATTTTGATATTTTGCAATTGAATCTAGCTAAAATTCGAAAGTGACGACTAATAACAGTTTAGTAGATATAGAATAACCTAATTAAAAAATTTGCGTAAAAAAAAAAAAAAAATTATTTAAAAATATATTTTAAGTTTGTATTTAAAGACTTTATTTTACTATTTACATTAAAAATTCTTTACATAAAAAAAACACAAGTATAATTCTTTCATATCAAACAAAAGAAAAATACAAGGTTAATAAGAAAACGAGATTAGCTGGATAGAGGAGTCAAAATGAAGCATGTAAAAGGGCCATTTTCATGGTTTGAATTGTTTTGGTTGGATGAATGGTTCAAATGAAGATTAGAAACAAGTGACGATAAAAATCTAAAAAGAGTCTAAAGGAGAAGGTTGCCACCAAGCAAATAATGATATACCTCGGGCAACAGTTCGCCAAAAGACTATAGATTCATCCTTTTCTTAATCGTCAAGAGAATAGTCAGATATTGCCTAGCACATTTCAAAACAGCAGCAGGAGAATTATTTGGATTACTACAAAAGTAGCCTCTTTCTTTACGAATTAAATTCGGACGTTCTTGGTCTAATCGGACGTTTATATCTTTAACCTGACTATTTTTGTTGATACGTAAGAATGGAGTGCGTCACGTGACTTACGTCGCCGAATTCACGAAACCGATAAAAAACCGATAACAGGTAGATACCTACATATACTCTATTTTATCTTCATTAAAAGAAACCAGCTCTATAGGTTCAGTGTTTTTTCCCTGTAATCTTTTTATTGCATATTCTTCAGCATCGCCATTTTGCCAACCACGACATTTTTTTCCTACACGATATGCAGCAGTTGATTCAATCATTTTATCCTAAAGTAAGGTTTGTTTTTTTTTTTAAGAGATTGATTAATAGAGATTAGTATTTTTAAAAATAAAGGAGAACATTGTATTGTAAAAAGGGAAAATTGTAAAAAGTACATACGCTCATAGAAAGTTTGGTTTTTTTTGATTTAATATGTTTAGAATGACGTTCAGAAGGAAAATAATCTATAGATTTGATCCATTCTTTTTGTCGATTTGGACCTAAAGGAGAAGGAATATCTGGAACATGACATGAATTTTTCTTTTCTAAAAAGTAATTATAGAAAAAAAAATGCATGAATAAGATTTGATAAATTGGATGAAAAATGCAAAGAGAGACTGTGTAACGGGACAAATGCGAGAATAAATTCAAATAAGGTAACATAAAAACATACGAAGTTTCTTTAAGGTGAGTTCAGAGCGTACTAGCACATGAGGTTTCTCAGATAAAGATCTTGCCATTGAAAATTCGGAAGGAATAAAAGAGTCAGAATCAAAAGGAATATCAAATAAACTAAAACAAGAATAAAATAAATAAGGAGAAAAGATGTTATAAGAATAAAGACCACAAAGCACATATATATACAAAAATCCAACGTAACCGAGGATACATAAAACACAAACGACCGTATTGTAATACAATCCCTGCATATAAAAGGACAAGTAACCATAAATAGATAAAATACTCACTAAGCATTAAAAGCTTCATTATTATTCCCACCATTGTCAACACTGCTTAACGCCGAGGAACCATTCTTAGAAGAGGTTTTACAATCTTTTCTAAGCCCATTACTTTTTCTGGAGATAACATTGAAAAATTTTGATTTTAAATTGGAAGCGATACCACCAATTACGTTTACTAAAAACCATACGCAAAATTTTATTACAAAGGCACATGAACAAAAAGCAGATAATGTACAAAATGTCATAACGGATAAAATGATTACAGAAATTGCGTATAGTTTGTTATCAGAGATTGTCGTAGTTTTTAATGGAGACATTGTTCTTTTTTAGGGAAAATTATTTTTTTTTTTGATAAACGTAATAAGCCGTAATGTAAAAAAAAGCCGTCAAGGTAAAAGCCGACAAAGAAAGAATTATGGACCGATCGACAAGATATATATTTAAATGTTCAAAGAAAGTATAGGAGTAATATTATTAAAATTTTGATGTTTTTAGAGAAATATTTTTCGTGGTTGCATTAGACTAATGGATATAGTAATAATTATGAGAGTTACTAGAGACACAAAATGTCAGTTACTTAATAATGAAATTACTGTTATTATTATTTTTTTTATGTATGAGAACAATCGATGTTTCAGAATCAATGCGTTTTATGAAATTAAAAGAAACTCAATTCGGTATCATTAAAATAATAATACATTCTTCTTGAGGGAAAGTTTTTTTTTTTTTTTAGATGGAAATCAAATTGGATATTTATTTATTAAAAAATATGGTACATGTGATTCGGTGAAACAATAATGAGCCGTTAGTTATTGTATCATTGTTACAATAAATCATTTTATCATATATTTTAAAAAAATATATATACGTAAAAGATGTGCTAAATAAATAACTAGAGAAAACGCCACACACCCGTTTTGCCAGTTATCATTAATTACCTTTTTCAAATCTTTCGGATGAATGTGAGAATCAGCAAGATATGCAAGACTTAAAGTATGCAAGTCTTTAAAGATAGTCGTTTACTTATGAAAAGATCTACGTGCAAAAAGCATTACATGTTACATAAATTAACAGAATTAGAAATTTCAAGCCAGAGGACAAATACAAAAAAAAAGTAAAGGCGTAACACACATTACAAAGAGAAAACGAATCCTAATAATGGATAATGAAACGCCATCATTTTCAGTTTAGCCTATTATATTGTGCTTATAATTCTACGAAAATTACAATCATAATCCAAATTTGATGGTAAGTAACGGTAATGGTAAACCGACTTTTTTAATCAATTAAATTGATTTTACGTACGTACCAGTACAAAGTTTCAAATTTTCAGTATCAGTATCAGCATAATGGTGGACGCATTTTAAGGGGGTATCCATAATTTACATTAAACCAGTAATGTTATAGGGTTCTTAAAAATAATACTATGACATTATCTTCAAAGTCTCTCTCTATAAAATATAGACCGGTTTAACGTAAAATATGGATGCCCCTTTAGTGAGGATTGCTAAAGATAATTTAAGGTAAGGCGCCATTTAATTTGATGTAATTTTTAGACGTGCGTACGTACGTACATACTTCTTGTGAGAAAATCTGTTTCATGTGTAATATCAAAGATAACGAATTTCAAAATCACTCTCAAATAAGGAAACTCTTGTTCAGCAATGCTGACAGTGTATTATGGCATGTGATTCAATATTATTCATATATTTTTGGCATTATTATTGTTATTATATCTAGAAAAAGAATATTATATCTATATAGAAAAGAATCGATTATTCCAAACTCACATTGCCTATTATTATTTGTTGCCTATTATTATTTCACGCGTCTTGATTAAGTGATCATCATGATTATTACTTACCGACCCCCCAGGTGGGAAAATCCTAAGATTACTGTCACTTGATCGTCTGTTTACGCTGCTGATCAAGTGGTACGGATTATCGTTAACACAACCTAGAGCTAGAAATATTAGGCATTCTCTGCCCGTGAGTATTCGAAAAAAGACACTAGCTATCTATATAATTATAGGACTATATACAGACTAGAGAAACCGATAATATTCATGACTATACATGGCATGGCGAAATTTTCGCCACGGTGTTTCAAAATGTAATTGACGATTTTATAATAAACCGTTGATATTACTATAGTTACCTATATATATTATTATAGACTGCCTATATATTATATTTTAAAGGAGATGTTCACATACAATATATCTCGAAGGTGTTCCTCAAAATGCCCTTTTAAAACCTGTCACTTAATAATTGATATTATATTTTATTATATTTTACGTTATAAAAAAAAAAAAAAAAAAGAAAGAATAAACTCATTAAAATCTTTATATTCACAAAATAAAAACTTTATATAAAGTTGTTTAATAATATCATTTTATATGTTCGTGTTTGTTTGCTATAAAATTTGGGGTTCATTTTGCGAGGATACATATCCGCAAATCCGTCGATATGATACACATGATCTGCGTGACATCTCGACTAACTGATATTCACTTTTAGCCTGTGACAGTCAACCCTATATAACGAACTAACCATAATGAACTCTGAATATGACGAGCTCAAAAATCTCAAATTTTATAACAGTTCGGTCTAAAAAACGCTTTTTTTCTATTTTTTATATGATAATGAAAATAATGTTAATAACAAAAAAAAAAAAAAGAAAAGAAAATAATGTTAAATATTGCATAAAGATCTAAATAACTTTATCTATAAAATAAATATTTTTTAAAATTTTAAAAAATATATTTTTTTAAAAGAAGCTAAATATTTTTTAGTTAACAAGAATATGTATAGTTCTTATATTATTGACTTTGGTTTATATAAACCTGTGCTACAAGAACTAGGCTCTAGAGATTTTTGGTGTTTTTCTTTATATTGCTCCAGAAGTATTACATACCAAAAAATCAGATATTTATTCTTTTGGAATAATCATTTCAGAAGTTTTTACTGGATATCCACTACACCATGATGTTTTACTTGATAATAAGGCTGTTTGAAATTACAATTTCATTTAACATTTTCCTCCCACCTCCAAGAGCTCCTTCTAAAATTAAACAGGCCAATCAAAACATTCATTATGCCTTGAAATTGCAGAACTTAAATATGTAACAGGTTATGCTAATTGATTAATATTAGTCTATATTAAACAAATTTTAAATATTATAGTTAAATTGGGAAGTAATAAAAAGAATAATTAGGCAAAGCCTATACCAAAATTATAAGTAAAATTTTTTTTTTTAGAGTACCAAGAGTGGTTTTATAGACAAAATTTTGAAATAAAAAAAAATTTTCTTAATTTGTTAATCAACCTGTTACACATTCAAGATGTGCTTTGAAATTTCAATAAGTTATACAGTATGCCTATAAGCTAACTACTAATAATTTAATTATTTTTTGTGATATAATATAATATTTGTTTAAATTGATACCTTTCTTCCACAATACTTAAGCTTCAAAAAGAAACGTTAAATAAAATTATAACTTTAAACAACCTAAATTAGCAATTAAAATTTGTAAAGGCTTTAAATTTAAAATCAGATATAAAATTTCCAAATTACTTTTATATTTGAGTGCTACCAAGTAAAAACCAGCAATTTTGATTTTTGCTAGCTTCACTTTCTGATATGATTCCTGATAAAGTTAAATTAAATACAATATATATTATATAGCATATTAAGTCACATTTTTCAGTATTTAATCTGTAAAATTAATTTTAAAAAACTCTCAATTCTCAGTTTTTGTTTGGCAGTACTTATTTGATAAAAAAATGCTTAGATACTGAATATCAAAAATGACCAATTGCTAAAAAATAAAAAGATATACTTTGATAGTATTATTGTTTGAGATAGTGTTTTGCAAAACCAAACCAAAACCCAAACTCACTCATTTGGGTTAAGTTTGGTTCATGATTTTTAGAACTGACTAATTTTGGGTCTTAGATTATAAGTACTTAATTGACTTATATAAACCTATATATATTAAGAGTAGATGGCATATCAATTATTTTTTATATGATCTTGGTAGTAAAATTTTTTCTTTTAAAAATAAAAAATATATTTTATTAATTAATAAATTATTAAAAATTAAATAAAAGTTGTAGAATAGGTTTTTCTGATTCTAATAGTAATAAAATTATTAAAATTGAATAAGTATTTATCAAGATAGATATATTTAAAGTTTAGGTATTGTTTTTTGTCATATAGGGATGTTAACCAGTCCCGCAGTAATTGTCAGCCAACTTTGAGCAAGATTTATAAAAAATTGACATTTTTAACCGGTATTCGTCCAATAAATAAAGTCATAGAAAAATAACTTTTCTATTACATTTTCTAATAGAGGTTTATCGGTTTTTGCATTAGTTTTTGAGTAATTTTGATGGGACTGATTAGGGACCGAACAGTGTGGAGAAATTTTAGCTAATCGGTCCCTAATCGGTCCCATTTAAATTACACAAAAACCAATGCAAAAACCGATAAACTTCTATTAGAAAATGTAACAGAAAAATTACTTTTCTATGACTTTATTTACTGGACGAATACCGGTAAAAATGCCAATTTTTTATAAATCTTGCTCAAAGTCGGCTGACAATTACTGCGGGACCGATTAACATCCCTATTGTCATATGATGATCATATGATATAAACCAATTAAAATTAATAATTTTGTGTAATCCCAGAAAATTTAGTATCACCCCAGAAAACTTTGCAATATATACAAGTATATTTTTTTTAAATATTTTAGTTATTAAAATTTATACTACTATAAAGAACATATTCTAATTTATTTACTACAAAAATTTTATAAAAATTAATTGTACCTGTGAAAAGTTTTATTAGTAACATGTTTGCAAAAATCATGTTGTACCACAAATATCATATGAAAAATGATTAATATGCTCCTTACTCTTAATCACCTGACTTTAAATAAATATTAATAATCAATATAATATATTGTAGTAGAGATTCTTGAAAATTCTTTGTATATTAAACATATTTTTTTTACCTGTAAAACTTTAATAGTTATATTACTACTAAGAGCAATAGAACTATTTTCTTTATCTCTTAGCAAATATAGTATTGGTAAACTTTAAATATAGTAAAAGTTACAAGTAATTCTATTGCTATATTGAAAATAAAAAACTGAACCAGCTATTTGCCTTTTTTTTTTTACCAACTAGTTAATTTTCTTTTTTAAACTTCAATTATAGTATTATATAAATATATATATCTACTTTTTCTTATTATAGATTATATAAATTAATATTTTCATTTAATACGACAGACTCTTTCCAACGATCA